GAGCTATGGAGCTAGAGAGATTAATGGCTACCTAAGGATAAGGAAGGGGCTGGCAGCAGATGTAGAGTGCCTGCTAGCAGATACAGGTTTTCTTAATTTGAGATGATACTATTTCAGAATAGACTATTGTGATAGTTGCGAACAGTCTAAAGCCCACTGACTTATACACTTTAACTAGGTGAATTATATATTATATGAATTGCATCGTAATAAAGCCCTTATTTAAAAATTAATGCACCTGAGAGCATATGACACTGAGAATTATCATCAAAGGACTGCATACTAAAAGAAAGACACTGTCAATCTGGGATAATAAGGAGAAGTCAAAGAACTGAAGGCTTTATGAGAAGCAAGCACAGATGCAGTAGCAGTCAAGGAATGGGAGCAATGAAATTATCCTTGACTTTCAACAATCAGTCCTTAAGCTAACTCTGGGTAATCTTCTTACTTCGTACATGTAATTTGTACTGCTAACTCCATCATGGATTCTTCTGGGATTTGTTTAAGGTTCTAGGAATGCAAGCTGATTATGTATCAAATGTCTTTCTAGGCACGTTGACAGCCTAATTTGTTGCAGCCTATTTAATAAAGATGACTAATCTTCTAGAGTCACTCAGGCCAACCAGATGGAGACCTTATTTGGTGTACCCATCACTTCTGATCAGCTACATTTCCCCCTGCAATCTTCTCTGTTTAGCTTGGGTGGAAGGAAATGAAATATTTATCATAGACCTTACTTTTCCATAAACTGTGACATTTAATCTTCGTATCTTTCACCCAGATTACAAATAAGGAAACTGGTCCAGAGAGGATAAGTGACTTTCTCAAAGTCAGATCACCAGCCAGTAGTACTATAATTAGAATTCTAGCTTGGGCTGAGCTAGACGAATCAACTACAATTAGGAAATGGGTAATCACTCAGGGTGAGGCTTCCGAAAGCAGTTGCTCCCCATGGATCTTTCCCCTTGACAGTACTGGAGTTTGCGTTGTTGCTAATTTTAACACAATGATAACATTTATATATTAAACACTTCTCTGGCTTATTCCCTGGACAACCACACGTCCAAAATTATATAGAAAATGGTTCCCTGTTAGTGCTTGGTCTTCAAATCTGTTTGTGGGAAGGTACTTTTTAAAAATATCATTTTTATTAATTCTTTGAGAATTTCATACAATGTATTTTGATCACACTCAGCCCCTCTCCAAACTATTCCCAGATCTATCCCCACCTCTCTACCCACCTGGCTTCGCTTTTTTTTTTGTTTTTGTTTTTCTTCTTTTATTTTTTCCTCTTAACTCACCAACTTCAATTTGTATTTGCCTTTCCCAGGTGTGAGGCCTACCCTAGAGTGTGGCTCAATTGCCCCGGGGGGGGGGGGGGTCACACTCTTAAAGAAAACAAACTCACTCTCTTCCAGTAGCTAATCAAATGCTAATACCTCCTCAGTTAGGGGTGAGACTTTGTGCTGACGCCCCACCCCCACATTGGGATACTGTCTGTCTTGAATGTGCACCAGTCTTGAGCACACTGTCACAACTGCTATAAATTCATATGTGTATTTGTCCTACTGTGTCTGGAAAACTGTTTTCCAGAGTCATCCATCACCTCTGCTTCTGGCTTTTACACTCTTTCTTCTCACTTCTTTCTGGATGATCCTTAAAACTCTGGGGGAGGGATGTGACATAGATTTCCAATTTAGGGCTGAATATTCTTCAGTCTCTTTTTAGCTGCACATTGGAGTTGTTGGTCCCTATGCTAATTACCAACATTACACAAAGTAGCTTTTTTGCTAAGGGTTGAGAGATGTACTAATAGGCCATTAGGAGTTTTTTAAATACTAAGTCAATTTAGGAGAACAGTAGTAGTCTATTCTCCCCTAGAGACCAAGACCAGTAGAGACACAGGTTATTGGCCCCAGTGTTCCATCTCTTGGAGTGGGTCTTATATCCAAGAAAATATTCATGCACCTAACATTCGTGCCACTGTCATACAGTATCATGCCAGAAAAGTCATTACTGTAGTTCACAGGGTTCACAGCTGGGTAACAATGATGATTATGACTCTCCTTCAGTAGCTTGCACAGCATCTTTAGCACTATGAAAACTAACCAGTAAGAGTGAAGCTTCCAGGTCTGTACTCACTTTAATTTTCCATGTTTTATGACTCAAGTATGTGGTGTCTTCCCCAATAGGGTCTTGCCATCAAGTTCTGGAGGGTAACTAAGAGCAAAGGCCTGAAATGTTTAGGGGCCTTTGGGACATCACTTTCAAAACTCAAAAGGTAACCAGGTCCTGGTACTGGTGGTTTTTATTTGCTAGTATGTGGTGTCTAGTCGGGGTACTGTCCTTCAGTGATAGGATAACTTCCCTGAAACTCTTCTATTATATGTATTAGGTATATATTTTACGATGCTTCTACAGTAGTAGGTTTCCATATGGCTTTTTCAAAAGGCCTTCAGGATTAGTTTTCCCTCCCCAGATTCCCTCCTCTACCTTGGTCTCCCATCCACCACCCCATTTAATCCTTATTTCATTATTCCTCTTTACCCCTTTAAATCACTATATTCTATCTGCCTTCCCTAGAGTGATCCCTTCCTTTCCTATGGCCCCCTACCAGTTATCTAACTTCTGTGGGTATTGCAAATTACACACACCTATCTAAAGATTTATAGCTAACATCTATATATGGAAGGAAAAATGTGATGTTTGCCTATCTAGGCCTGGGTTATATCATTCAGAATGACTATTTTCAGTTCTACCCATTTTCACTATTTATTTATTTATTTGCTTGCTTATTAGTTTATTTGTTTTTTCAAGACAGGCTTTCTCTGTGTAACAGTCCTGGCTGTCCTGGAACTCACTCTGTAGACCAGGCTGGCCTCGAACTTATAGATCCACTTGCCTCTGCCTCCTGAATGCTGGGATTAAAGGCATGTATCACAATCTCTGGCAATTTTATTTTTCTTAACAGTTGAGTAATATTCCATTGTGCAGATGTACATTTTTGTTGTGCATTCCATTCCCTGGCTATTATGAATAGAGCATTAATTGAACATTGATGAGCAAGCATCGCCATAGTAAGATTTAGAGTTTTTTGAGTGCCCAAGAGTGGAATAGCTGGATTGTGTGGTAGATTGATTTTCAGCTTTTTGAGAAACCTCTACACCGATCTCCACAGTGGCTTTACTAGGCTGTAATCCCACCAGTGGTAAATAAGTGTTCTGTCCTACCCCACATCCTTACCAGCATCTGCTGCCATTTGTTTTCTTGATGTGGGCCATTCTGACTAGGTCAAGATGAAATCTCAAAGTAGTTTTAGTTTGCATTTCCCCATGGCTAGGGATGTTGAACATTTTTTTGAATGCTCCTCAGACATTTGTATTGATCTTTTGAGAATTCTGTTTAGGGGGCTGAGACAGAACTGATTGCCTCAGTTCAAAGTTAGCTTAGACTATAAAGAGAGCTTCAGGCTATCTTGGGCTACAGAACAAGATCTTGTCTTAAAACAAACAAAGTAGGATAGATCTGTGCACTGAATGCAAAAAGTATGTAATTAAATGACTAAAAGATAACAGGGAAAACATTCAGGCTATTTTAAATGTTCCCTCATTGTAACAATGATTTATAATTCATCTTCTCTATCATCTCATTTATTCATTCATGGAAAAAATAATCCATGGTTGTTGGTAGAAGAAGATTCTTGCCTCTGGTTTTTTTCCCAGTATTTTAAAACTGTTCTCTAGTACAAGGACATTAAAGAAGCACATTACTTCCTCTTATGTTCTTGATATCTACATGGGCTGGAAAAGTCAACATTTATACTATGTATACAGTGTCAAGATGCCAAAAGACTGAACTATCTTTCTTTCTGACCCTCATATTTCTGCTGAGGATACCCAAAGGACAACAAACTTTAGAACCCATCTCTCAGAATTTACGGATTGGACATAAAAGGCAATATAGAGATGTTCTGATCAAGAGTCACATTTTAGGAAAACGAAGCCCAGAGACATTACACTAAACAGAGATTACACAATAATTATAAGCATAATTTTTCATTATAATATGTACTATTTCAGGGTAGTTGTTCTTGATCACAAAATTCATCTAGGATGATTTCATTTTAAGATACATTTAGAAATGTGTATATATATATAATGTTACTTAGCAAAAAAGACTGTCAGAATTTAACTTTATCTAGAAGGCACTTATGGCCATCAATGACTCTACTGTTCTCTAATTCATCAATGACCACAGAGGTCAGTAAGGTCATGTGGAATGTCAACGTCCATGCAAAATAGTCCCAGATCCCTGGCACTTTGTGTTCCTTTGATTTCTGTCCCCTCCTTTCATGTTAGTTATTAATTCTTACATCTATTGGTGGAACTATATGCTGCAGCCTCCATCCCTACACCCACACTTACTATGGCCAAAGAGAACTGAGACATCAAATAAATGTGATATTTAAGACTATGACAAAGACAACTGCATAACAGAAGACGAACTAGAATATTTAGAATAGGAAACTTGTGATTTTTTTTCACTCCGGCTGTTAAATAACAGAGATTAGAGTCAATGGTGGCAAACAGGATATTCTTAAGGGAGAAAAGAAATGGGAAACGATGGAAAAACAGTATATAATTAAAAATAAATTTAAAAAATAAAGTGAGATGCTATCAAGATACTCTTTACACAAATAAAAACAATGAACTGTGGAGGTGATTTTAAACTCAAGAACACATGCATTTTTTGAATCAATATTTCTACACTGGTGGGGTTTTGTTTTTCTAAGTAATAGATTCTATTTCTAAGTAATAGATTCTATTTCTGAGATATTTTATGTTAACAATAGCTGAGCTGAAAACAAATTTTCCATGCACCTTCCCTTCCCACTCCCACACATTAACAGCCTCCCCACTTATTGACATCTTGCACTTCAAAACAACAACTAGAAGGTTTTGGAACTATACAAATCCTCCCAAAGCGACAGTTGAAATTACCTGTAACACCACAGAACTGTGGGTATTGCTGGTAAAGATCCGTGTGTTTCCTGCCTTGCAAGACTGCAAATGGGAAGAGAGCCCCATTTCACTGCTTGCAAGGCACAGTTTCATGTGCTGGTCGTCCTCGTCCACAAGAGATCTGAAAGATTTATTAAATGAGAAGGTAAGGAAAATGAAAATGTGCATAATTCACAATAATGATTGCTGACAATCATCTATCTATGGAATACACTGAGGTTCATTTTACTACATTCTAATTTCATACCAGTCTACAGCACAGAAGAAAGTCACATGTTCAAAATGCTTTCCAAGAACAGAAAATGTAGAAAAGAACTGAGAAATCAACTAAAAGATATTTTTAAGATACAGTCTCAAGAAACTTTTAGGGTGACAATATTTGCTTTGTATATTTAGTTTACTATTCAAATAGCAATGTCATCAAATTGTGTCCTTCGTGGTTATGCTTAATTTCAAGTACATAATTTTAGAAAGAAAAAACTAGTAACTGATGTAATCACTGCTCTCTATCAAGTACTTGCCAAGAACGTCACAGGTGAGCTCTTTTACTTTAAGACAACCAAATGCAAAAGGTCATATTATTAGCTCCCTTTTCCTTTCTTTTTATATTTTATTAATTGTGTATGAATGTCAGCCTGCATGCAGGTCCATATATCACAAGTGTGTCTGGTGCCTGTAGAGGTCAAAAGAAGGAGTGAGATTCCCCACAACAGGAGATACAGATGGTTGTGAGCCACCATGTGGGTGCTGGGAACTAAATTTTGGTCCTCTGCAAGAGCAGCAAATGTTCTCAACCACTGAACTATCTTTTCAGTCCCTATCTTATTTTTGTTAAAGAGAGCAAATTTAGAAATAACTTATCCAGGTTAGTCAAGTAATAGAATCAAGATTTAAATTTAAATATGGCTTTATTCCAATTCCCATACACCCATATTAATAAAAGTAAAAAAATAACTGCAATATATTAATGCAATACTTCATTTTGCTGTTTTTAGTAATCACTCTAGTCAACTCTAACCAAATAAAATTTTACACATGAAATAAAAATTTTAGCTTTTTTCCCCCCTCAATTTTGGATTATTTACAGAAACAACTATATTCTACTAGCATTTCCATTTTTCAGAGAAATGAATAACTTAAGTAAATGAAAGACATTCCCAAGTATATAATAAAATATTAACTTTTCCCCCCAAAGGCTGTAAGAAAAGATTGCCGAATATGGAGTCACCAAGACACTTAATTACCAGAGATGATAATTAATTTACAGGGCTTGATAGTTACAGGGCTTTCCTTAGGTTATACTAAAAATTGACCACCCTAGAATGATCTGTCATTATTTCTTACAAGCAGCCTTTTATACGCCTAACTCTACAAAGCTAAAATGGATTCTGGATCATGTGCCTAAGAACAAGGAGTCCTTGGCTCTGAATTGGTTTGGTTTGTGCATTCATGATGGATACTGCTAAGCAGATATTAGGAAAAGAAAGAATATCAATTTAAATTTTTCTACTTAGCTATAATTTCCTGAAATTTAAATTATTTGATTTCCTATCTAGACTATCTGATATCAAAGATTTTGCCCTTTTCTTGTAATATCTATAATCTGAGCTGCTCAGTTTTAATAAGAGTTTTAAGACTATAGCTACTTTATACACAAAGATGTTGCTTTTTGAATACTGACACCAATCAAGTGCTTTTAAATCCTGCAATAATTAGCAGAAATTCTTGCCTTAAGGGTGACATCAATTCTTCTTAACAATATTAGAGCCATAGTACAATGAAAAATGAATTAATAAAATATATCCATGTTTTATTCATCTCTCATAGATATTTAACAGAGAATAATTCAAATTAGGTTTTGACAAGCATAAAAGAAAATGAACATAGGCTTCCATTAAGGTTTCAGAAATAGCTTTAAAAGGAATGATATACGATATATATAATTTACATAGCATGCAAAATATTCATATACATGTTTGTAGACAGGCACTGGAATTTATAGCATCAATTGGAAAAGTCAGAAATAGATAGATGGTGTGGCACGTCTCTACCCAGAATATATCTATCCATCTAAAATTATTTTAATAGCAAATTCAAGCAGACTGTGCTATTAATTTCTATATTCCCTACACACAGCCTGGTATGAGACGCTAATTTATGTCCTGTGACTGAATATGGAATCTCATTTCTGTGAATCATTCCAAAGACATTTCTTTATCATGCAGTGCTTAAATGGCCATCAATTATCATTTTTACAACAGGGACAGGAGTAAAGCTGCAGCTGCTCTCTCCTTGTGACATATCCTAGAAGTTGCTTCTTTGAATAAACTACAGATAACAACTTGTTTACTTGTCATTTGTCCCTTGCTCTCAAATTTGAGAAGGTTTACATGAAAATGCAACCCTTTCTTGGCAATAGGAGAAGCTGGCTTTCTAATAATTACTTCAAAAGCTGGAGAAGCCTTCATACTTGACTTCTGGAATACTGAGGAGACTGATTCTTTAACATTCAAAACGCTCCCTATTATTTCTGCGCCAGTAACAGTACATGTCATGTCAACCTTTTTAAGAGACTCAATATGCCCTTCTATCTTCTTTTTATTAAATTTATTGACTGCAAGGGAAGAACATTGTTCTTCAACACTGTAGGAAAGTAATAGCTTTCTCTTTCTGCAAAGCCCAGGCTACAATTATATCATGTTATGTTAAGGGATTGTTTATCAGACAGATTTCAGAACAAAATTTAAAAAAAGATTTATTTTTCAAGTCATATAGTTAAAACAATATGCATGCCAGTGGTTCTCAAAGGGCAGAGGAAAGGAAGGAATTTTGTTTCCAATCCCTGCCCCTCACCACACACACATCCCTTGACAATGTCTGTGGACATTTTTCATTGTACCAACTGAGAGAGGGGTAGGCAATTACTGTCATCTCTTGGGATGCTGCTAGACATACTACAGTACACAGAACAATTCTGTATGTCAAAGATGTTCTCAGGGAAAAAATGTCAATGGTGCTAAGGTTGAGAAACCCTGGTATAGAGGGAATGACTTCCACATGAAGTGTTTATCAAGTAATTTCATGTTTTAAATATTTCCCAATCCTTGGCTTGACTCCACAGAGTAATGTTAGCAGTACAAAAACACAGTGGGAATTATTAATTACACTAAATCTTCTAAATCCATCTTAGCAGAATACCTCAGCTCTCCTCATTCCTAACATTTGGAAAACTTGAGTGTTTACAACAGATCAGTAGATAATAGCTCTGATGTTTATAACATAATTATGTAGAAAATATTTTTATATTTTATATAAGAATAACAATTTCTTAATTCTGCTTAAAACAACTGTTGACTTGATTTAATTTTACATAACAAGTTAGAAGCTTGTAAATCTTGAGCAAATCCTGCCATTTTATAAATACTAAAAGGTTACTTAGAGGAGACAATGTCTAACACTTGAATCTTTCTGCAATAGCATGAGAATCTATATATGGCTGCCAAACTAAGCCTGCACACTGAACACATTTTATTTTCAAATCAACAATGAAGCACCAAACAGAAAACTAATCTTTCACAAAATGTGTTTGTTAAAGAAAATAATCACTGTTTTGCTGCTGTAGCTGTTGAAGAGCTGTGGTTTAGAGATGAGGCCCCCTCTCCACCATTTTACTAAAACCACTGCAAACAGACAAAACGTTAAACATTTAGCAGTGCATTTACTTACAGTGTTGTTTGAAGGAAGAAAAAAAACAAAGCAATTTGTTATTTTGTTAAGAAAGCAATGCCAACATTGTAATCTTGTCTCAAACTTTCCATATTTTACAAGAACCTCAAGGAAAACATATATAAATAAAGTGGAGAAATTCATATAGACAAGTGTACAAATAGTTAACAGATAAAAATGTTCAGTTTCTTCAGTATTCCAGAACATGCAAATCAATGCACAGCATCTATCTTTTAAACCTATAAATTATCAAAGAGTAGAGCACAAGACACACTCAAAATCACTAGTGCAGACATGCATGAAGTCCCTAGGGTCTAGGTGGAGCTGTTCATCCAAATGGATATTTGACAAAAGGCCTCAAAATTACTAGACCAGTCCTTTTCTTTCCTTCTTTTTTGATAATGAAGGATTGTGCATTACATCTATATCCTAGAAGACTGCCACCCAAAGAGTGCTCTCTAACTCTTGTTAAGATGTTTCCTATACAGAACAGTGATGAGTATGTTCATTTGCTCAAGGTTCTATTAATAACAGAATAGTCTTATAAATTACTATTGCCAATCACATTTGTTGGTATGCTCCAAGGGAGGGCACCTCTAATTTGCATTGAGTCCAAACTCAGAAACTCCCTCTGAAATGTCCTCAATCTCTACATCCAAAAGACTAAGTGTACTGAAACCAGTTCTATTGTATTGGAAATTGAGGTATCATCTTGGTAAGTTATAAAATGCACATTTCATTTTCTTGCCTTCTAGCACCACAAACACAAATCCATTTTAAATGCAAATGCCAAGGAAGGTGACATTTCACTGTCACGTCAAGGAAAAGAGAATAGTTTAGTGCTTTTTGAAATTATTATCATGAGAATACATTAAATCCAGATGACTACTCTTGGTATACAAGTTATGTATGCCAACTTATACACTAGTGGCTTAACTTTTAGCTTACAAATAAAGGACCGCACACTGACATTGTGAAGAAATAATCTGCCTTATACATTCCTGAAGTGCTTGGAATTTGTCAGAAAAAAAACCATGAATCAGAAAAGAATGTAAAGTATATTAACAACAGCTTTATTGTTTCTCTCTATTCAGTTACTGGTTAGTTTCATGGTGCAACTTTTGGCTTGCCATCATTTCCTTAGACATATTAAATCTAACATGCATTGTAATAACACAGTTTCACTACAACAAACCACTTGTGTCTCTTGAGTTAGTCCTAAAGTATAACACAAATATCTTAAGTTCCCAGATCGATAATGTTATCATAACCAAAAGTTACTGCCAGTGGGTGAGCATGTAAGAATGGCAGCACTAACAAGACAATAAACCAGACAGCCATAAATGCTTTAACAGTGCCACAAAGCAGACAAGTTCATCAAGTCAACAACTTATC